TGTTTAGAAAAGGTGACTGTGAGCCCATCAGAAATATTCTACACTTTATTTGAAATTTCCCACTTTCTGCTGGGCTGTAAATAATTCAGAACCCAATAATAAAACTGCTGTCTTAATTTAAACCACTGAACAACAAATAAAGAAGGAGCATTCTACACCTTGCTATTTGGGGATATCACACAATTTAAATGCCTTAAAGAAGGCCTGATGTATTTTGACTTTCTTAAATATATACTGTTAATATACAGATAATCCTTGACTTACAACAACAATTAGGGCCTGAATTTTGGTTGCTAAGCAATGCAGTCCTTAAGTGAGTCATGTGGTCGGACTTAATTTTATGACTCTTTTTATGTAGTTATTGAGTGACTCACATGGTCTTTAAACAAATTTGGATTTCTCAATTGACTTTGCTTGTTACAAGCTAGCTGGGAAGATTACATAATTGCAAGACACTGCATCTGTCATAAATGCAAGCTAGTTGCCAATTGCTTGAATTGTGACTGCAGGGGTCTGTGTGTGCATGTGCAATAGTCCTAATTTTGTGGACCAGTCATCAGTCACTTTTTCCAAGGCCACCATAACTTCAAGTCATTGTTAAACTAACATTCCTAGATTGAGACTATCTGTATCATTATGACCCACAGATGGCAATATATAAAGGTTGACCAATAGATGGCGCTCTAGTTCCATTTTTCCTTCACACACACAAAAAAGACCTACCACAATACTGTACCATATTAAGGCCAGGCAACTGATTTTAGGATGTTGAAAATCACTACTTTCTAATATGATTGGCCTTTGTTGTATTCCCACATGAAATAGACTTCTATAATTAACAATACTAAATAATTTAAATACAAGGCAACGTTAGCTTCAAACTTTACAAAAAAACCCACCCTTATTTTTTATTTGTGACAGCCGTTCTCTTAGAAAAAAATTGCCATTTTTAAACAAGAGTTCAAATACGCAAATCCTGAGTTTCATAAATTCATGAAGAAGCACAGAAAACTGCAGGGGCTCTGAACAGCCGGGTTTGGGAATGATCCGTTTGTATCATTTGCACTAAGCTGAAGAGTTCATGAGCTCATTTATTCCTGCTCCCTAGAGCCAGATCATGCAAAATCTTGGAAAAGAGAAAAGATGAGCCTTCAGAAGAAAGGGCGTACTGAGTTTGTATACAAAATACTTCAATTTTCAAAGTAACCAGTACTTCATGGCCCCGAAGTTGTTGTTGTCCAAACTACTTAAAAGTGTGGAAATAGAGCCAAGGTCTACTTTCTATCACCCATCTCCAAGTAATAGCTGTTGAGGTTCTTGCATAATTCTGAATGTCCACAAACCACGGATCTTATAAGCTTGAACACGCAGCTGAAGAAGAGGGCTCCTTTTCCATGGAGCCATTGAGTGAAGAGCAATTTGGGGGTGCAGCAACTTGTTGCTGCTGCCTCTCGTGGGTAGAGCAGACACTAATGAATTGCGAGCACATTCAATAAATTCACAGGAGCAACTGAAAAGCTGGAAGGTGGATTGGGAACAATTCTCTTTTGCCACAGATAGTAAAACAGAGCACAACACATCGAGACAATGTAAATAATTCACAGCTGGGACGGGTAAAGGGTGTGTGCGTGTGTATGTGTGTGAAAGGGGAGGTCTTATACCCAAGGAGAAGCCAGGCCATCTGGTCAGTAAGAGAGAAGCCCTCTTCCAAGCCAAGAGGTATTAAGGCAACAAGTTCCCAGGAGCCAGCCAAGAAATGCTCCATGGTAATATAACTCTACTACTGCTCTTCTGCCCAGAGATGCCCCATGGTATCTTCATTAGATTGCGGCTCTGAGTGGAAAAGATAGGATGGCTCCTAAAGCCAGACCCAAGGAGAGAAAGAAGGCCATGATGGCTCCAGCAGTTTCCGCTTCATGAGACAGCACCTTCCTAGAAGGAAAAATAAAAACTAGTCAGCACAACATCCAGCTACCCAAAAACCAGTTGCTTTTCCTTCCTCACAATCCATTCATCTCAAGCCACACTTACTTGGGTCCAAAGCACATGCAGAGGCTGGCCAAGTAACCATTGGAGATGGAGAACAACAGCATGAAGGCGAGGAACCAGGCATCATGAGCAAAGATGACAGGCAGGTTATGGCGGGGCTCCACATTACACAGCATGAAGAGGGGAATGAAAATCAGACGGATAATCACCAGGAAGGGTAGCAGGCGGCTCTCTTTACCAGGCTGTGGGAAGGGAAGAATAATATATTATGATATCAAAATTAGTCATCACTGTGATAAATAGAAAACTGGAAAAATTATATCATAAACAAATTTGTCCCTATTGCTTAATGCCTTCTCTGCCCCAGTGTAACAAATAAATGCTACAAAGATATATATTGACAATTCACTGCTGTAGATCAAATGTAGGTTTCCCCTTTCAGTGTTATATTATGTAATTAATAATTTTGTTATGTTCAAAAGACCCATAATTCTTTTATNGGAGCGGGCAAGCAGGCCTGGCGCAGTGCACGCACCGCCACAAGGCTTTGCCCGCCTGATTAGGCCTTTATACCCCCCACCCCCCGCGGCCACGCCGTGAATTAACCCGAATCGGAGTCTTAAGCGCCGGCGAGCCCCGCGAACTGTGACCCGGGCGTTGGTAAGAGACCCGGAGGCCCAGGCGCTCGGCTCGCCCGGGAAGCACGTGGCCCGGGGGACCCGGCCTCCTCCTCGTCGGTCTTTACTGCGCCAGAGGCGGCAGCGAAGCAGAGAGAGAGAGAGACGAGACTTTTCCGGCCCGTTTCCATGTAGAAACGGGAAGAGAATCTTCGACTTTCCATTTCTGGCTGGAGGAGGCCGCTTACTTTGATCGACGGCGGGAGAGACGAGCCTGGAGCACGGCGTGACCTTCCGACAGGGAGAGCGGCGCAGCCCGGAGAGGAACTGTCGTCGTTTCCCTCGGCCCTTTATAGAGGCTGATCCCGCAATCCTTCGGGCCTTTGCTCCATCCGCCTTAAAAGGGCCTCTTCCGAGATCGACAGCACCCTCTGATGGCGCTGTTGCTGTGGGCTGCCTTTGTTCTTCTCGGCTTTGAAATGATGCCATCCCTTATCTAATAATGGAAGAAATCCTTTCATTGGATTGTCAAGGGTTCTCCTAATCTCTTTTAACAACCACCTAGTTGTTTTATACGCTGAAAAGCAAATGTTTCCAAAGCCTACAAAGCATGAGTCCATTTGTATCCCAGTATTTATTTATTTATTCTCTGTTTGGGTGAGTGATGGATGTATCTGGTGCAAATGCTGTTTTTCTGTTGGCACACACTATCCCCACTTTTTATAAGGGCTCACATTAATAGCTTTTTAAAGCCTGATTTTTATTCTCCTTCAAGTTGCTTTGATTGATGGATTAATAGGTTAACAACACATGTTTTTATTTGAAAATAATATGGGGATGTTTCCCAGAAAACAAGGCACTTAAAAGCTAGGTTTGTACAACATGCATGCTTACTGGTGTTTAACCCAAATGTTTCAGTTTACATAAATACACTGAACTATACACTGATTTAGTGGACTGGGTTTACCTAAAATACTAAGCTGAAATGTAAGTGACTAGCTTGCAGTATCCTATGCAAACCCTGTCTTAAGTATTGCAATTGCAATATATTTTAAAATAATGCCCAAAATGAAATTATAGTGTACTCTTCCTTTATTCCACCCACCCCCCAAATGTCTTACATACTACAATATCTCTACGGTATTATTCCCATATACAATTCCATGATCTATAATATATAAAATCCACCTGGTATGAAAACATTTGAATTAAAGAGGGGTTATGAATGGAAGCTTTGTTCTAATTTAAGGCAAACAATTTATGAACCAAACACTGAAGGAATATATGTGGGTTTATTTGTTGCTAAGTAGACTTGATTGGCAATTTAAAGGCTTAGAAACCTGGGTGTCAGAATTGAGCATTTTGTGATATTGTTTCAAACATCCAGAGTCAACCTATTTTTTTAAATGAAATTTTAAGGGCAAAGGTGGTTTCTTAAACCTTATAGATGCATAAATACCCTTAAAAATCTCAACCCGCCTCCTTTGGGTTGGTTTTTGACATCAGAGCAGGAGTTATGGGCCACAATGGGACCCCAGTTACATTGTTTCAACCCAACCCTCTTAAATCTCTTCCCACAAACAAAAACAGACCAGAAAATCTTAGCCACCATCATTCCAAGTTTCCAACAGCCTTCAGCCTTTCTGCAGTCAGGCCAGAAAGATTAAATGTGCTGCACTTGAAGATCTGTCCCATTCCTCAGCTAATTTTATGATTTGTAACGTTAAACCCCAACTTTTCTCCAGTGTTTGTAACCAGCTGTAACAATTCATGACAGATATAATTGCCCTTCCTAACAATGTTACCTTATAGATCAGTTTCCTGTCTACCAGCAGAATAGCAGCAGGAAATCAATAAGCCATTCCTGGTTAGCAAATGATGATGGAGATCTGCTCAGCAATAACTTAAATTTCCAATAAAAGAGACTATTCCATAGCTCAGGCTTTTGCTTGCCGATACTTCATTATTAATCTAGATAGCATCAGTCTTCAATGATGTTATGCAGTTATTAATGAAACATCTGCAAGAAAACAACCAAACTCAGAAAGCACCAAGGATCCCACAGTAGCAAAAATGTATGGCTATACTTCAAGTCTCTAAAACGAGTAATAAAATCGAGATTTTATGCAAGCACCTTGCCTATTAGATGCTCCTTGCCAGCTCCTTTGATATTTATTTTAATAAATCTAAAAGAAATGGTTGGGGAAGGAATATTGAAATATGAACATTTCTATCTCTTCAAAAGTCCAAAGCTTGGAAAATCTGAAAGGCTGAAACGTTTACAGAATTTCTGTTTTTAATCACCAGTAGTTCTACAGTTGTATCATAGAGAAATTGGATTAAAAACAATAAAGCAGCTTGAAAATGTTTACGACGAGGTCCATGGAATGGCTCTGAGTCTGTGTTTAATGTTCATCATTGTAATCTAAAGGTGGGTTTTTTAAAATCTCGTGGTGTTTATTGTGGGATCCACTGATCTTTCCCTTTTAAGTGAAAGCGAATGGGCGGAGGGCGGAGACGTTCAGGTTCAGCGCTTTCTCCTGTCTCCTCTTCGTGATGTTCTGCAGTGATGGCGACTTGGCGGGGGTTGAAATGGGATCTAAAATGGGGCTTGCATGAGTAACAGCTCGAGGGGCGATGGAAGAGAGACAATATTTCGCTCTTCAATCCCAACCGTTTTGATTGGAAAAACTTGGCCCCGAGCACTTCCAGACGTCAGAGATCTCGCTGGAGAAAGCACTTGTGCACGCACATTCAGAGACGTTCGCTCGTTCTTGCCTTTGGATTCAGCGCAAACTTTCTCTCGGCTCTTCCCACGGCTCGGTTGGTTCCCTCCGGGAGGGTCCTCAAACGGCTTTGATTGACATGTTTCAGCCCAGGGAGGCCGTCGAGGACTATTTTCGCAGAGCCTTCTCACGATAGTGCAGGGAGACAGTATGGTGGCTGGGCGGTGATGAGACCTTAGTTTCTGCGCGAAGTCTCCCGCCTTGCTGGTTTCGACAGTCGGCTTCTTTTCCCTTCCCGCCCTTTCCCCCGCCCTTCCCACGAGAGCCTGAAAGTCCCATTATTGCCACTAGAGGGAGCTCTAACTTCATCTGTCTTCCTCATTTGATGCCTAGGTGGATGCATCCACTAGGGAGCTTTCCATTTGCATCGCCCGTCCATCTGATGTTGCAAAAGCCAGAAGAGCGTCAACGGTCGGCAGGGCAAGAGATCCCCCTGCATTCTAGGGAAAGAGACAGGCGCTTCATTTCCCAACCTCGCCTGTCTTGAGGTTCAATGGGATGCTGCCGTCTGCCCGCTCTTTATCTTGTAGCCCTGCCAGTAACAACTGGATGTCAACCTGAGCCATAAAATAAAGGGACAAAAGTGAGGAACAATAACCCACTTCTTGTTCCTGTCTCTTAAACAGGGAATTGCATTGCAATGCCTAAGTCAGTGATGGCAAAGCTTTTCTGCACTGAGTGCCCAAACTGGAACCCACGTTCATGCGCCCGCCGGAGCACTGGAAAACCAAAGACCAGCTGGCCAGTGTGCATCCTAGTTTTTTTACTGTTTTCAGGTAGTTTTTTGGGCCATTTTCAGGCCATTTTGTGCCACTCCAATGCCCACAAAGACCAGCTGGCCAAAAGAGCAGCTGGCAACAGCACACATGCCGACAGAGGGCTCTGCGTGCCACCTCTGGCACATGTGTCATAGGTTTGCCATCATAGTCCTAAGTGCTTGGAGCAGCTTATTAGTCAGGCTCTAATATCAGGCTGGCTCAGGAGCTTCCAAAGCTTGGGAAAACTAGGTAGGAATTCACAGCACTCTGGCCTTTCCCTCTGAACCTCAAGATGTTGCTCTGCCTCCCCTGAGATGCCACATGTCCTGGAAGTGAAAATATGCCCATTAAATTCTGCTTGTAACTGTGGTGGTTGGCAACGGTTGTATGCCTAGTTGTTAAGTATCCTGGATTATCTTCATTGCATGCCTCATTAGTGTGGCCAGATGCCCACAGGAACAGGGCTCTGTGTTACAATTTAACCATAGCAGGAAAAGCAATTTCAGTAGGTAAAGCAAGCTACTCTGGGTTAAAAATTAAAAGCTGGGTGAAATCCACTTTCCTGGGAGGCAAAGGCAAGAACATCTCACCTGTTGAAGCAGAAGAAATAATCACCCTATTATAAAGGGAAAAGATACTCGTGACTAGAAGAAAACAGTGTATACTTTTGTGGCCACACATCATTCTCCTTCTTTGCTAATTGCCTTCCATGGCTATTTCCATTGGCGCTGGACTCCTTCAGACAATGCCTTCTCATGCTTTGCAAGATGTCTTGGGCCTCTCAGGAACTCTACAACGTGTATCTTGGAAACTGCTTCCTATATAGGCATGGTATCACCATGACACTGAATAGTTCCAAGAAATTCATGTATTATAGCAGATAATCTGATAGCAGCTTTGAACTGCTTGTCATGTAAAGGCAGTGAAGTGATGGCATTTTGCCTAGGTAAAGGTAAAGATTTCCCTCACACATATGTGCTACTCATTCCCAACTCTAGGGGGCTGTGCTCATCTGTTTCAAAGCAGAAAAGAGCCGAGGTGGCGCAGTGGTTAAATGCAGCACTGCAGGCTACTTCAGCTG